AAAAATTTTTAATTTAAAATTTTAATTTAAATTTCAGTTGTGAAGTGTAGATATTAAAGTTTCCTGTGTTGTGGACGAGGTAGCTGAGTGGTTAAGGCAATGGACCACTAAACTTTCCTAAAACAGTAAAAATATACTTTCAGTTGGAAAAAAGGATTAACTGAAGTCTTTTTAAAAGTGGTTTTTTAGAAACCATGATGTGAACAGATTTGCATGAAATTTTTTGTCTTCTATCTCATTCAGGCAAACTCATACTCTTAAAATAATAAGTATATTACCAGGAATATGGATTTCATTGATTTAAAATTAATATCATTTATGCCATGGAAAGGGTTATGGTTTCATGAAAAGACAGTGCCTTTAGAGTCAGGAAGACCTTGATTCCACTCCTGATGGGACACTTGTTTGATGTTTGACCTTGGTGAGGTTCTTAGTGAATCACCCCCCTTTGCCTTGGTCTGGTTATCTGTAAAATGCCAGTAGCTTCCGCTTCACAGGGTTAGATGACATAATGCACCTAAAGCACCTGGCAAAGATTAGTGGTTGAATGAATGTTAGGATTTTTCTCCTTTCCCCAAGATAAGTGAAGTATTAACAAATTTACTGGTTAATTATGGGCCTGAAAATTTTCCCATTTGCAACTTTAAAAAAGGAAGACCAGCCAAGAAAAATCTAGATCAGTCAAGAAAATGCCAAATGAGTGCTTGGTTTCTTCAAATAAACAAGAATTTACCAACCCCCATTCTGTGTGCTTTTTCAAACTCTGATAATCAAGTAAAAAAAAATTCTTTTGGAATCTCAATAGTAGACTATTGAGTTTTATGGGATAGTAGCTAGAGGTCACATTCTTTAAAATAAGCTGCTCTTTTGTGATGGGATTAGCGTGAAAAAGGAACATGAGAAAAGTGTGATTGCTTAATTCAGATGTCAGTACTTGCCTTTTTTCAACAACAGCTTTGTTGAGATATAATTCACCTACTACAAAAGTATGCAGTTTGGTGTTTTTCAGTATGCGTAGAGTTGTGCAGCCATTGCTACAATCTAATATATTTTCATTACCCTGAAAAAAACCCCATGTCTTTAGTCACCACCCTCCGATTCTCTTGCTCTCCTCCAGACCCTGGAAGTTGCTGGTCTATTTTCTGTCTCTATGATTTTGCCTATTTCTGATATTTTGTAAAAATAGGATCATATAATATATGGTCCTTTGTGACTGGGTTCTTTCAGCACTTTACCTGTTAATACTTTGTTTGGAGAACAAGTTGGGGCTGCCAGAGGTACTCTATTAAAGATTTTGTTTCCTCTCCACAGTCAACATATAATACCAGATACTGTACTTCAAATGGTTTTTGTTAATTTTTTAAAAAGATTTTATTTACTTTTTGAGAGAGGGGAAGGGAGGGAGAAAGAGAGGGAGAGAAACATTGATAGGCTGCCTCTTATAAGCGCCCCAACCTGTATGAACCCAAAACCCAGGCAGGTGCCCTGACCAAGAATCACACCAGGACACCCAACTTTGCAGGAGGATACCCAGCTCACCGGGCCACACCCATCAGGGCAAACATTTTTTACAGTTTTATTAACATAATACAAGCTCCACACATTCAAAAAGTACAGTTTGATGAGTTTTGACATAAGTATATAACGATGAAATGATTACCACAATCAAGATAATGAACATATCCATCATCTTCAGAAATTCACTATGTCCTATTCTCCCTGATATGATCCCCAGGTTGTTACTTAAAAAACAAAAATGTGTTAAATGAGATAATAGTTTAGAGTAGTATAATGAAGAGAAACGGTATGTGTGGAAGCCAGCTGCTGGGTTACCTTGTGTGAATGCTGTGACTTCTCTAATTTTTTGTTTTCTCACCTGTAAAGTGGAGATAGTTAATATTCCTACCTCCAGCATCATAGTTGGTATTAAACTAAATTTTTTTTGTTTTCTTTTTTTAAAAAACTGGTCTGAGGTAGGTCTTTTTATTGATAGAGAGAGAGAGAAATATCAGTGTCCTGACCAGGGATCAAATCTGCAGCCTTGGCATATTGGGACAGTGCTCTAACAGAGCTACCTGGCCAGGGCTAAACTAAACATTTTTTATGAAGCAGGTAATACATTGTATAGCATGTAAGTGGTCCATAAATGATAGCTGTTGTTAATGTTATTTTATTTTATGTTACACTAAACCACCTCATTTACAGGGTGGGGCAAAAGTACATTTACAGTTGTTTGTATGGAAAATAGTACAATCATAAATAATAATAAAAGAATAAACTCTGTGTTTTGTATACTTACAACTGTAAACCTACTTACCCTGTTTTAGATAATTCATCATCATTATTAGGTGCCTAATATGAAACCTAATGTATGGCATGTACTCAATTTATACTCATTGACTTTTTCCTCCTTATTCTTGTTAAGTACACCATATGGCACCTATTATTGTTCACTAATCCTGATCATTAACTTTGATAACTGATTTGAAAAATTTACATTCATTCATTCACTCACTCATTCATCTAACTAACTTTATTAAGGACATGTTGTATATCAACATTGAATTGGCACTGTGAGTGATCTGAGTTGAATAAGAGACAAAATACATCCTTTTTACATTTAACCAGGGAATGGGACAGAATTTTCATAGTCGATGCATGAACAAAGCAGCATGGAAGTTGAGAGGCGAGGGTGATTGCTTCCAGCAGTGAACACACAGGGGTGGTCTTATGAAGGGTGTACATTTGATTAAGGACTCGCAGGGATAAGTAATGGGATCACTATTGCGCAGGGCTCTCAAGCTCAATCTGGGACAGAGAGCAGGCCCGGTGTAGGTGGGACACAAAGCACTTGCAGAGTTGAGTGAAGCAGCTGAAAAGGGGGTTGGGGCAGTCCAAACAGGCTACCGCTGGGCTGAGGTGAGATGTGTTTTCTCAAGCAGGAGAGTCATACCATAAGTAGACTGCTTTTGAGGTGGCTCTTGTGAATGGATGGAATTGAGAAGAAGACAGTTGCAATCAGGAGGACTTTAAAGTGTCTGGATGTTACTTAGTATCTTAAGTAGGTTAGTAACTCTGAGAAAGAAAACAGGGAAAATGGAAGATCTATAGAGTTGGTACTTGATTAGTTGGTTCAGGGTTGGGTTTTCTTCTTCTTTTGAGAGGGTTGGAGAGTGCTTGCAGAGTGTTAGCCACTTATAACTCAGTCCCCACAGCAGTGAAGTATAGGTACAATTGTTAGACCCATTTTCAGATGAGGAAACTAAGACTTAGGGTGGCTAAGAGAAATGTTTGTCATCCTCCACTTGTGCTGGTACTTCTGTCCAGGCCCTTTTCCCACTCAGACCATCTAGTGACCTCTCTAGTTGTGTCCCCCCACCTGTCCTCTGTTGTCTCTGCTCATTGCCGTCTTCTTTGTTCAGGTCTTTATCTCAAGGCAGTTATTGAGACACACTCCAAGGTCATCATTTTCACTCTGACAGTGTTTTTTCTTAGCAGAAATTGGGCCATGTCTTTTTGTATTTTTTAAGATTCTTTCTCATTGTCTCTGGGTAAAGTATGGCATTCAGGGCTCTTAATATATTCTGATCCTTTATAGATTTAGTTTGTCCTTTGCCCCCAAAATGCCAGTTCTATTTGGCTCTATTCCTTTGCTTGGGCACTTTCTCTACCTGACACACTCTTCCTTTCTCCTGCATCATGAACATCTCTTCATTCTTCAGGAACTCACACGAGTCACTGTGTCTGTATTGCCTTTAGCAAGAGGGCTCTTCCTTCCTTCCCATTAGGCTGTAGCATGGCTTCCACTACCAAATCCTTTTCAAAATTGATTAGCAGCAACTTATAAAAATACACGTAGCAGTAAAAAACATGAACATGTAAGAGCAAGTAGATTATGGGGGATAGAAAAATAGATTCAAGAATAAAGGTAGTTTGATCATGGCCTGTGTATTGCTGAAGCCGCAGCTTCAGCTTTTACTCTGAACGTCCTTCCTTGTCAGAGTGAAAGGGGAAGCACAAACTCAAGAGTTTTTCCAGGGACAGCCCAATGCATGACACCAGTTGCTCTGGAGAAGAGCTTTTCCTGTTACTGAGAATTAAGAGGCATGTTTCTGGAGTGAGTGCGAAGGTAGAGGTGAAGGTGGTACCACACCAGGTTTCATGAGGCTGCTTCATCAGAGACCTTGATGCAGCACGATAGCATGATACCAAAGCACTATTCATAAAAGCAGTTTTATGATACTCAGCACTGTGACCCCAAAACACAACTGCTTCTTGGTCTAGCTTAATCCTAGGGAAAAATGTAGAACAACCAAAGGAATAACATGTCACATTTGTTGTAGTTACTGTTTTACATCTGTTTACCTCCAAAAGCGATCAACTTTTTCCAGGCAGGGACCATGTTTTGTGCTTTGGCTTGATCAATAGTAGAAAACCTTACAAGAACAAATGAGAACCATCTATGATTGTGGTCTGCCCAGGAATCATCACAGTGCTTCGCTTTGAATTGTATGTACTCAGAAAGCCAGATTCATATCTGAGATCCTCGATTGAAAAATAACTGGTTGTAAGTTCTCCTTGCTGTTTCCAAGGGCTGACCAGTGCCTGAGGCAGTTTTCAAGTAAATGCACCAGCCAACTGAAATGGCAACAGCAAAGTGACTGCAGCTACAGTAGTCGACTACTAGTACTGACAGAGGAGAGCCTTGGAGAACGTTCAGTACATTCAGCAGTGCTCCAAGTTTTAAATTTAATTTTCCATTTGTCTATTGCATTTGGGGCTAAGAGGGTCTTATCTTACATTACTGTATCGTCATGAATAATGAGGCAGATTCAGAAAGAAGTATGAATTTTCAAGAGAAAAGCAAAGATAGCCAATTTACTGAATGACTTCAGTTCTCCCCAAATAGTTCTTCTCTCTTTAATTTATATCAAATATGTTCTGCAGTGATATAATACCTTTTGATTTCTTTCTAATGGCTACTTTTTTTATACACATAGGAACTTGATAAAGAACTCCCAGTGCTCAGGCCATATTTCATTGATGACCCTGAAGCAGCCGGAGTGAGTGAAGCTGGCTTAAGAGTCACATGGCTGGGACATGCAACGGTAATGGTGGAAATGGATGAGCTCATATTTCTCACGGACCCCATCTTTAGCTCTCGTGCTTCACCGTTGCAGTACATGGGTCCAAAGCGTTTTCGGCATCCTCCGTGCACTATAAGTGAACTCCCCCGGATAGACGCGGTCCTTATCAGTCACAACCACTATGACCACTTGGACTATAATTCTGTCATTGCTTTGAATGAGCGATTTGGTAATGAGTTGAGGTGGTTTGTGCCCTTGGGTCTCCTGGACTGGATGCAAAAATGTGGCTGTGAGAATGTGATCGAGTTGGACTGGTGGAAGGAGAATTGTGTTCCTGGACACGATAAGGTCACCTTTGTCTTTACACCTTCCCAGCACTGGTGTAAAAGGACTCTATTGGATGACAACAAGGTTCTGTGGGGCAGTTGGTCTGTGTTGGGCCCTTGGAATCGATTTTTTTTTGCAGGAGACACTGGTTATTGCCCTGCATTTGAAGAGATAGGAAAAAGATTTGGACCTTTCGACCTTGCAGCTATTCCCATTGGAGCATATGAACCAAGGTATGTGGACTTCCAAAGAAAACATTCCTACTTCTATTCCATAATACGTTAAGTGAATGTAAAATAGTCATGATTTTGTGATACTATAAAATTTGTGATTTTTTAAATTTATTTATCTTTAGAGGGGAAGGAGAGAAATATCAATGTATGGTTGCCTCTAGTGTGTCCCCTGCTGGGAACTGGCGGGCAACCCAGGCATGTGCCCTGACTGGGATTTGAACCGCGATCGTGTGGTTCGCAGGCCCACGCTCAAGCCACTGAGCTACACCAGCCAGGGCCAAAAATTTGTGATTTTAATGGTGGGCTTTCTTATACATTGGGGCTTGGTGGGTCAATTTCAATTAGAACTTGTAAATAACCTTAGTTATATTAATTAAGTGATAGTTTAAAACCAGAAAAGTTACATTACCAAGAAGAAGAATTTCTATATCTAGCCCACAAGTTCACATACCATTTTGACTCAAGTTAACTGGTCAGCCAGTATCAAACCTAACTCTTGTTCCTCCTTTCACATGGAGGATTCTCTCCTTCTGTCACCACTTTTTGCTCCACGACTGGAATGCACCTTGTTGTAGAATTCTTGTGTAGACCAGAAGAAAGCCAGGAATAGGGAATGGCCTGTAGCCTCTCACGATGGTCTTATTTCAGTCATCACTGATTTTAATCTGGTAATGGCATTGTTGCATTGTAAGAGTTCATTTAAAAAATGTCTTGCCCTGGCTAGGTGTCTCAGTTGGTTGTAGTGTGGTCCCACACACCAAAAGATTCCAGGTTTCATCCCTGGTCAGGGCACCTGCCCATATTGTGGATTTGATCCTTGGGGCATGCACAGGAGGCAGCTGACCGATGTTTCTCACATAGATGTTTGTCTCTGTCTCTCTCTTTCTAAAATCAAAAACGTATCCTTGGGTGAGGATTTTAAATAAATAAAAAATAAAGAAATAAACTTTTATTTTTTGAAGTGCATGCATGGATAGATACATACGGAATTGTTTGTACGATGACATTTTATTTAGGCAATCCTGCAAGCAGAAGAATGCTAATATGATTTGAATAAATCTGATCATTGCTTTCCATCTGATTTTGTTTTACTAATTATTATTAAAGATTTAATTTATTTATTTAGAGAGAGGGGGAGTAGGGAGAAAGAGAGAGAAACATCGATTGGTTGCCTCTCCCATGTGCCCTAACTGGGGACCAGGCCCACAAACCAAGCATGTGCCCTGTTTTACTTACTGAATTAACTTTATAGGTTCACTAAACCATTTCTTCACTGCCTTTATTAATGCTTATTTCTCTCATTTATTTTTTTCTAGTTTCTTTAAAGGGCTGGGTATTTTAACCTTATTTTAAAATATTATTATAAATAATAGTGCTTGAATTTCACTTATCCACTTAATTTTAATTTTGAATTCTAATGGAACCTCTCAAAACATGAAGATATTCATAAATCAGTTTCATATGGTGTTGATCTTTATTCAGTATATTTCTAATATATTAGAATATCTCGTTGTAATTACAAAAGTTAAGTTTTTATATGTAGCAAAATAAAAACTTTTCATATATATGTGATGATGTAATGTGTAGTACATCAAACTACACAAATTCACTTATGCAGTTTCCCCTTCTGCTTGTATTGCAGCTGTCCTGTTAAGATGATAAAAGGATGGGGAGGACATTATTTGCACTAAGAGATTTCAATTGTAGTAGCCTCTTTGTGTAATTTCTGCTTAGTATTAACAGTTTTAGAAATAACTCTACTATTTTGAGATGATTATACCAGAAGTGACTTTCAATAATAGGAATGTCATCCCTACTTTGGGAATTATTCTGTCCAAGTCAGTTATAAGTCTTTAGTTTAATTTTACACCACAGTAAAAATTTTAGTTATTTCAGATACACCTGAGGGTAGAAAGGAGTATGTCTACCCCTTTGATTTGCAATGAGGGTTTTTTAAAAAGTAAACAGAAACAATAAACTGCATTCTGTGTCAGGAGCTATGGAGAACAGTGTCTCTCTCATCTGCTGCCCAGAACACAGTGGTTCTGTTTATAGGCTCCTGCAGGGCTTGGTAACTAACACCTGCTGTAAATAACAATCCTGTAGCTGTTACAGATTGAGGAGCTTTTCCATGATGTGTTCTATAAGGTGCAGGAGCACCTGTGCTGAGTCTATATCCATTAGTCTTGACTGCAGCAGTAGTTGGCAGTAGCAGACCTGGGATATAAACAATACAAAGACAATGTTTTTCTCTTCGTTGGGAGCCCTGGCTGGTGTGGCTCAGTGGATTGAGTGCTGGCCTGCGAACTGAAAGGTCGTTGGTTTGAGTCCCAGTCAGGGCACATGCCTGGGTTGTGGGCCAGGTCCCCAGTTGAGAGTGTGTGAGAGGCAACCAATTGATGTTTCTCTCTTTCTTTCCCCCTCCCTCCTCATCTCTCTAAGTGTAAATAAATAAAATCTAAAACAAAACAAAACTGATAGCTAGGAAAGCAAAGGACTTGCTTGTAGATAGTACACTTTCTCTTTGTATGAGAATTAGTATTTCTTTCTTCAATTAGTATTCAATTCTTTGTATGAGAATTAGTATTCCTGAAAGTGTCTCTGTTCTTTCCAAGGCATTAGGCAGCCTTTCAGTGTTTCTACGCTCTAATTAGTCCCCCTCATGAACTGCCTCTTCTCGCCCAACCAAACACCTCACTGTTCAGTTGTATGCTATTTAAATAAAATTTTTGAATAGTATTGGATATTTTTGCTCCTGATCTGTAAATATTATACACTAACTTTTGTTGCCTTTTTGCTTTAGCAAGTTTTAAAAGAATTTGTTTCAGCATGTTATTCTGGTTCTTTTCCTTTGGAGTTTTAGTTTCTAATTCTTTACCCATTGCTTTGATCCATGCTAGAAGTGTAAAATACCAGCTTTTTAAAGTAACAGTAAGACATATCTTCAGAATACTTGTTTTTGCTGTGTATAATAAGCACCTACATTTTTGGCCCAAACTTTCAGTGAAAAAAATCTTTCATTTTAATTTTAATTCAATTGCTTATTTATGTTTAGAAAGAAAACTGATCATCATATTCCAGGGTATTATTTTGCATACAGATATTGTTATTGCTTTCAAGAGTTACACTTTTAACACATAAGCATAAATAAAAGAATTAAAAACATTTATATAGATATGGAATTAGTACTACTCATGTATAATGCACACCTTTATTTTTTCCTAAAAAATTTGGGCAAATAAGTGCTCATTACACACAGCAAAATATGGTAAATCATCAGTAAAATCAAAATACACATAACACAAAATCTTACTGTTTAAAGGGGAGTTTTGCTTGTGACTTATCTATTATATACAAGTTGGTACATGAAATATTTTTGCTTAAATTTTTCTAGAAGAAAAGTAGGCTCAAGAGGGGTGGTTTTGCCTACTATGATTTATTCCTGTGCATAATCTTAAAAAGTTGATTAGATGAAGCAGTTATTACAATGGGTTGGCCAAAATGTCCATTTAGTTTCTTTTGTAAAATAAAAGATACATTTTTCATTTTCACCAATAACTGTATTGAGTTGGATATTTTGAATATGTTGGCTGTCATCCGCTATTGGCTTCTAGTGGGTAGAGAGGCCGGGGGCTGCGAGGCATCCTCCACTGCATCAGACAGCCCCACAGCAAAGAGGTATTGGGCCAGAATGTCGGTAGTGCCAAGAAATTCCGTAAACCACGTCCAACACCTTTGGTCAGTGACAGCATCTTTTCCATACACTGCAGAAACCTTTTTTTGTGCTTCAGTTGCATTTTTACCTTTCTGGAAATAATAAAGCATAATATGCTGAAAATGTCTATTTTCTTCCATCTTCAATATTAAAATGGATGCATAAAATTCACTAGTTTTGATCAGTTTTTTAAAAATGCACACTGATAGGACAGCTGTCACAATTTTGTCTAACAAAATTGTTTTGAATGAAGTTAAAGACAATGAAGCACTATTACAGCCATCGTATGGAAAAAACTAAATGAACTTTTTGGCCAACCCAATATATTTCAAAGGTTTGAATTAATAAGTTGCGGTGTTTCATCAGGTGGTTTATGAAATACCAGCATGTAGACCCAGAAGAAGCTGTAAGAATTCACATTGACGTTCGAACAAAGAAATCTGTGGCCATTCACTGGGGAACTTTTGCCTTAGCAAATGAGGTGAGTTTGAGTGTGATAAAAGTAACTAACTGGTTCTGTTTTTGACCTGTGATGGACTCAGACATCACTATACCCAGCAGTGTGTTCAGGGATCAAACTGGAATCAGAACCCATTTGATTCATAGTCATCCCATGAAGTGGTAAATCGTGAATTAGTAAAACAATATTTATAGTGTGGGAAAAAAACCCTCATTGCATGCTGTTCTTTTGGCTTATTTCTATAGTTAATGATGCATGTGTTTCTCTAGCAAAGGGGTATCAAAGCTCATTTTCACCAGGGGTCACATCAGCCTCATGGTTGCCTTCAAGGGGCTGAAATAATTTTAGGACTGTATAAATTGAACTATTCCTTAGCTGTTAAGGAGTTGGAATTACATTTGGCGCTTTGAAGGCAACTGTGAGGCTGATGTAGCCCCTGGTGAAAATGAGTTTGACATCCCTGCTCTAACCAAAAATGTGTGTGATCTTGGGAAACAGAAAAATGAACAATCGTGTCTTCTCTCTCAGGGAGCCTTTTGTTCTAGCATAACCTGTAAGACATGTACATAATATCTCTAAAACAGGTGTCTAAAGGGCTAAGTGGTCTCAGAGTCAGGGTGTTACTGATTGGAAGGATCAGGGACACTTCCTAGAGAGCCGACATTTGAACTTGGCTGTGAGAAGGCATTTCAAGAGGAGGAAAAGGCAGAGTATAGGACTAAATGCAGCAAGCACGGGGAATAATTGAGGAATTCTGTTCTGCTAGAGTGTGGGTGTCCTATGGAGGGCAATGGAGGAAGTAAAGCTGGACAGCTCGGGACTTTTTAGAAATGTTACTCATCTAATAAACATTGATTTAACGTCTGCTATGTGCCAGGTTTGGGGATAAATGGTACTTTTACTCCTAGACTAATACAGAAGAGGTGATTTTTTTCTTTTTTTTTTTTAAGGTAGCAAAACCCTAGAACTCTGTTACTAGACAGTTCTGGGATCAAGGAGGACAGAAGAGAGCCTTCTCTTCTTTCCTGCATCCAGAGCCTGTCCTAAGCAAAATTTAGAAATGGATGGTTGGCTTTTACTTTGTTTCATGTTGCATCTTCCACATCCCAGGGCAGGAACCCCATTTTCATGCTGTTTTAAGCACTCTTTCTGTTCTGGCTGGCCCTTTCCCTAGGTTACAGCTTGTTCCAAAATTACCTAATACACTGTGTGCCCACTCTCTACTCCCTTCAGTCAAAATTGCCATATCATGATGCAGCAACCCTAAGCCACACTGTTGGGAGCTGGAATGGAATGAATGAACACAGGAGTGGGGAGGATGAATGAGAATACGTGTCTATTTGGAGAAGGGGGAAGTTTGATACTCATTTCCATTTATATACCACTATATTTAGTGGCATTTCCTATTCTATCAAATATGTGTGTTCCATATATAGATAGATGTGTGTGTGTATATACATATTCCATATGTAATATATACCATGACTTAGATGAAATATTTCATTAAACCTGTATAAAGGAGAGGAATCTAGGATGATGCCTAGATTTTCACTTTTAGTGACTGGGAGACAGTTATGCTCTTTACTGAGATGGGGAAGATGAGGAGAGAATAGAAAACCCCAGTCCTCAAGAGTTATTGTGTTATTCAGCCTTCAAGAATTATTCCTGTTAAAAACTTAACTTCCATTTTTTTTCTTAATGAAATATGATAAAAACTCATTTAGTATTAGCAATTTGGAATTTGTTCATATTTTGACATGAGTTGTAGAAACCTTATAATCACAAGTTTGTTCAATTATAAAGTAGATGCAATTTTCAGGGAGGATGTTTTTCCTGATTTGTAAGCACTTTAAAATGATTTGCATGTAAGTAATTATACCAGCTGCTTACTATAATGTAAACAGATTAAGCACATCCTTACCTCAGCAACAGTTGGAAATTATACATATAGCAGCATCTAATTTATCTAGGAAATGATGAGTGAATTTCCTAGACAGTGTATTAAAACAACTCAATTTGGGGGGAAATGAATTTTAGGCATTCTGAAACATGTTAACTTTTCAGATGACCAGTATCTTTATTTTGACTGTCTTCTGTTACAGTGGGTCACAAAGCATATCCCTTTGATGGTTGCCTGTCTCTTATTGTCTTGAGGCTGGGAGCTTCTGCTTCCACTACTTAACTCCTACTTACCTCTAATCTGCTGTCTTGCTTTATACATGGTTGTTTGTTCCTAGGGCTATGGGGTATTTTTATCTCCCTTGCTTGTGCTATGATATACAGCTTTCCGTCACTCAGAAGGCTTTCTTGCCTTCTCCTCTATTTTCTAGATGGTTAAAACAGCCAAGAATTGACCTATGAAGAAACTCTCATATTTTAGTATCAAAAACCACACTACAGCTTATAACCAAAATTATAGCTTATCAAAAAATTATTAGTGTAGGGTGATCATGTAAGTGTATTGTTGGCTAAGACTTGTAGTGCATGGGGGAAATAATTTAATCAAACAAATTGTTTTTTAGTGGGAAAGAATTTCATTATTTTGAAATCTCAAATTAAAATTTTGCAAGGGCATTTCTTGATCTAGGTTATGACTTAAAATTATAGTTTATTGGTGATATATTACCAATCTCCTATATGCATAAAAAGACTAAAAGTAGTTTCCTGTTGGCAACTACTGCATTAATAAGTGATTACCTGTAGGAATTGTGGGTAACCAATGTAAACTTAAAACCTAAGTTATTCAACACTCAGCAGAAAGGTATCCCTGACCCTCCTAACACAGCCATAAACCTAGAAGTTAAGGGGGTGGGGTAGAAAAGAAAACCTGTGCATTTTAAGCCTCAGAAAACTTTCCTGGTTTTTCTAGTACATCACTAGCTGTTGCTTCTTAGTCTCTGCTAGTTCCTTATTTACACTCCCTCTAAATAGTGAGTGCCATAGGACTCAGTACATGGACCTCCTCTCTAGCTGGTTACTCCCTGGGGGATTTTATCTGTCTTATGGCTTTAAATACCATCTATCCATTACACCTGTAGCTCAGGTCTTCCCCCTACTATAATCCACATTTATATTTCCAACTGCCTTAACATTGGTACCAAAACCTCAGTCGAAAACCAAACTTCCCAATTTTCCCTCAAATTTGTTTCTCTTAGTAAATGACAAATCCCTTCTTCCAAAATCTCGACTTGCCTTTCTCTCATATCCTCCATCCAGTTTTTCCCCACATGCAGTCAGCTCAACCTTCAGATTATAATCAAACATGACCACTTCTCACCACCATCATTGCTATCACACTGCCCTACAGTTTGTTCTCGACACTGCAGAGGACAGTGACCTTTATACCTTGAGTCTGATCATGACACTTCTCTGCCAGAACTACCTAGTAGTTTCCCATAATGCTCAAGAGTCAAAGCCACAGATCTCACACTTGCCTACAAAGCCTATTGATGTTAATTCTTCCAATCTATGAACATGGTATATTCTTTCATTATTTGTATTATCCTCAGTTTCTAGCATCAGTGTCCTATAGTTTTCCAAATACAGATCTTCCTTTACCTCCTCGGTTAAATTTATTCCTAGATACCTCATTTCTTCTTTTTACAATAGTACATGGAATTGTTTTCTTAGTTTCTCTTTCTGAAAGTTCATTATTGGTATACAGAAATGACAGTGGTTCCTGAGTATTGATTTTGTACCCTACTACTTTGCTAAATTCATTTATCAGGTCTAGTAGTTTTTTGGTGGAGCCTGTAGGGCTTCTACGTACAATATTATGTTGTCTGCAAATAATGAGAGCTTTACTTCATCCTCTCCAATTTGGATGCCTTTTATTTCTTCTTGTCTCAGCACTGTGGCTAGGACTTTCAAGTACTATGGTCCTATGTTGAGTAAAAGTGGTGAAAGTGGACATCCTTTCCTTATCCTGATCTTTGAGGAAATGCTTTTAGTTTTGTCCACTGAGTATGAAGTTGGCTGTAGGTTTTTCGTATATGGCCTTTATTATGTTCAAGTGTGTTCCCTCTGTTCCCACTTTGCTGAGAGTTTTTATCATAAATAGTGCTGGATTTTAGCAAATGCTTTTTCTGCATCTATTGATATGATTATACGGTTTTTATCTTTCATTTCGTTTATGTGATATGGTGTCACATTTGTTGATTTGTGAATGTTTTACCAACCTTCCATCTCAGAGACAAATCCCACTTAATCATGGTAAATGATCTTTTTAGTATATTGCTGGATATGGTTTGCTGGTGGTATTTTGTCGAGGATTTTAGCCTCAATGTTCATCAGGGATATTGACCTAGTTTTCTTTGTTGTGTCTTTACCTGGTTTTGGCATTAGAATAATACTGGCCTTGTAAAAACAGCTTGGAAGCCTTCTCTTGGATTTTTGGAAATAGTTTGAGAAGGACAGGTGTTCTTCTTTGAGTGGTAAAATTCACCTGTGAAACTGTTTGGTTCATAACTTTTGCTTCTTGGGTGTTTTATGATTATTACTTCAATTTCATTCATTGTTGTTGGTCTAGTCAGGTGTCCTGTTTCTTCCTGATTTGGTCTTGGGAGATTGTATTATTCCAGAAATTTATCCATCTTGCCCAGGTTGTCCAACTTCTTGGCATATAGTTGTTCATAGTATTTTTTTCACAATCCTTTGTATTTCTGTGATATCTGGTATTTCTCCGCCTTCAATTCTGATTTCATTTGGTTCCTCTCTTTTTTTCTTGATGAGTCTGGTTAAAGGTTCATTAATTTTATCTTCTCAAAAAAACAGCTCCTGGATTCATTAAGCTTTTGAATTTTTTTAAGCTCTATGTCATTTATTTCTCTTCTGATCTTATTTCCTTCCTTCTATTCCCTTTGGCCTTTTTTTTTTTTTTTTTTAGTTCTTTTAAGCGTTGTAGGGTTAAGATTGTTTATTTGAGATCTGTCTGCTTGAGGTAGGCCTGGGATGCTATAAATTCCCTCTCAGGACTGTTTTCACTGAGTCCCATAGGTTATGGGTTGTATGTTCATTTTCCTTTGTTTCTAGTTACTTTTTGATTTCTTTCTTGATCTCATTGATGATCCATTCATTTCTTAATAACATGCTATTTAGTCTCCAGGTATTTGAATGATTTTGAATATTTTTACTGAGGTTGATTTCTAGTTTCATGTCATTGTGATCTGAGAAAATGCTTGATATGATTTCAGTTTTCTTGAATTTAAGACTTCTCTTGTGTCCAACCATGTGGTCTATCTTTGAGAATAATCCATATGTACTTGAAAAGAATGTGCATTCTGATCCTTTAGGATGTTTTGTAAATATCCATTAAATCCATTTGATATAGTGTGTCACTTAAGGTCCCGGTTTCCTTTTTGATTTTTTTGTCTGGAAGAGCTGTCCAGTGGTGACAATGGGGTGTTAAAACCCCCCACAACCCCCTACCTACTACAACTATATTGCTGTCAATCTCTTTCTTTAAGTCCACCATGATTTTCTAAGATAAAGAAAATCTTAGGCATCTATAAGGTTTACATCCTCTTTTGTACTATTTAGTGACATTATCTTTTTATGGCCTGTGTTTTGAAGTCTGTTTTGTCAGATTGCTTCCAAACTGCTGACTTGATCCTGTTTTCTCTAGTCTGTTTTCCATTCCTCACAGTGTACTCTTCATTTCTGATACTGCATTCTTCGTTTCCAGCAGGTTCTTATTTGAGGTTTCTGTGTCCTTTTTCACGTTGATGTAGTTCTTACTAAGTTCCTTGGATATCCTTATAACCATTACTTTGAACTCTGTGTCTGGTAAATTATTTGCCTTGGTTTCAATTAGCTCTTTTTCTGGGGATTCCTCCTTTTCTTTCATTTGAGGTTGTTTATTTGTGCCCCATTTTAACTGACTCTTTTTGTTTCTACACATTAGATAGATTTGGTTTGACTTCCTGTCTTCGGCGGGTGGCGGTGTGTGGTAGGAATCCCGTGGGACTCAGTGGTGCAGTCTCCTTGATCTCCTGAGCTGGGTGCTCTAGGAATGCCCTTGTGCAGTTTATGTGGGCTCTCCTGTTGTATTTGGTCTTGACCGTTGTTGGCCCATTCACTGGTGGGTTCTCCTCTGTGGCTGGCTGGCTGACTCCAACCCCCAGCACATGCTGAATGTTCTCTTACCTGTGCTGACAGACCAAAGAAATACAGCACAGAAAACAAAACCCACACAAGGAAAACAAACAAAAAAAATACCCATCCAACAACAGCAAAATCAACAAGAGTAAAGAATAATAAAAGTAGAAAAAAACAGAATATAAGAAAAATAAGAATACAATTAAGACCAAAGAAAAGAAAAATAATTATGAGAGGATGGAGGGAAGAGAAACACTGAGAATAAGGAACAGAAAAAAGGTGGCTGTCCCCAGTGGGCTTTGTCTTTCTCCAGTGGGCACAAAGCCCGCAGCCTCTCGCTGCTGGATGCTGCGTGGGTGGACGATCCCAGCCCTGGCCCTCTGTGCTTGGGGCCCAGTCAGCGGTCCGGGCTTCACTGCTGTCTGGGGGAAGCTGCCCAGCTGTGTGGCAGCCTCGGCCTGCTGCCTGTGAAAGGGGTGCCAGCCCCTTTTGCGTCCCTGCCCTTAATGCTGGTCTTGAGGTGGTTTCTGCCCGTCCTTGGTTAAATATCTCCTTTTCAGGTAGTCCTCAGTGTGGGTGGACGTTCCCCTTTAATTTTTATTTTCAGCTTGATTCCGTGAGGTGGTGTGAGATAAATTCTACTCCACTGCCCTCTGCTGCTCCTCAAAGAGAACTTCTTCGGCTGCTTTATTTCCTCCTCCCACACTTACCCACATTTCGTCCCCAGAACTCATCTACCATTCTGATACTATTTTGTTATTTATTCACGTATTTGTCTCTGGTAGACTGTAAGCGCCAGGAAGGCAAGGGTCTCTGTTTTGTTCCCTGGCCCGGCTACTCTGTGGTGCTCAAAAGGTGCTTGTTGCATTAAGGGTGAAGGCAGACTTACCCCAGGTCTCTAATCTAACTTTTTGATTTTTATTCCTGCTTTCTACTTCCACATTATACAGCTTTTAAAATGGAAATTGGGAAAACCCATTTGAAGTAAAGGGAAAAAATAGCAATTATACAATGTAAAGATTTAGGCCAAGAGGGAAATAACTGGTGAGATGATTTCTTTTTATATCTTTTAAATCGGTAGTTAGAATAACACCGTTTTAAGTGGTTTCAGTTTATTTGAAAAAAATAGTTGATAGGTTAAAACATCCTGCGACAATGTGCTATCTTCTTTAAGCTTTGAAAAGGTGAGGAGACCAAGGGGACTAGGGACACTCCACCTGTCTTACCCCTGTCCCTCTCCCACTCTGTAGACTGTAGTATCAATATGTGGCCAGGGATTTGAGGATAACAGCCCTTCTCTAGCCAAAAATATTTCTCTAGCATTTGCTTTGCACACAACACACATATAATGTAAGTTTCAATATTAAAAAATACTGGTCACGTTTCATTCTCTGCTACTATCTTAGGCATTGGTTCCATTTAGATTGAAATTTCATGTAGTGAAGTAGTTATCAGATTCCATGCAATCTAATGATGTTTGCTCTATGATTGGCACCAAATTTGACATATATGTTATTTGGGTAGATTGGTAAGAATGTTTCTATTGACTTAACAGTTAATGATTCCATTGTATTAGAAAATGTGATTAACTCATATGCTAATACTTCAATGAAAAGAAAGGGCATTATTTTAACTGAGCATATATTATTTTAGTTTGACTTATTTGAAGTATCCCTGAAATACCCGGATGGTTAATCTTTGTCCATTTTTTTTTCTTTCTCTGCCCTTTGCCAGCATTACTTAGAGCCTCCAGTGAGACTGAATGAGGCTCTAGAAAGATGTGGACTTACGACAGAAGATTTTTTTGTCTTGAAGCACGGAGAATCAAGATACCTAAATAGTGATGATGAAAACTTAAAATAAATAGAGCACAGGAGCTTGTAATGACATATATTTGATATAAGTATAAAAAGACTAAGATATTCATGATTATGATTTTTACATTTGGAAACTTCTGCAAGTTTCTGTAATAACTTTACTACAATTGCCAATTCATATGAACAAAGAGTTCAGTTATGGGTCATTTAAATAACGAATGGGCTAAGACTGATTTTAAATCTTGTCTCAATGTGTAAGCAATAAATGGGATTTTTTTTAAACTAAAGCATTATATTTGAGTGGTAGAATTTCTGAGGTTATGAAAAACTAATTTTAAATGCCTATTTCAGTTCTATTCTTAAAAGCCTTCTACAAGTTTAGTCAAGCTTGTCTACATACCTACATTATTCCAGAAGACTGCTCACATAAACATTCGCATCAGAGTAGTGATAAAATTAATTCCCACATGCTTATGGCACTTGCTCTTTTAAGATTAGTTTTCATGCCAAATATTAAATGCTATTTATTTTTTAAGCATAAAAACACAGAGGAGGTTGGGCTAAGTTCTATAAAAGTTTCTGTTTTTAATCTAAATGTCAGATTGCTAAGCACAATATAGCTGCAAGGAAATAATATCTTACAAAGATAAACATAGACCTTAAGTGTTAATATACCATGCAGTTTAAATTAAATTTTATTCTTTCCACTCAGTTTTTTCTGATTTCTTAGCTCTAACTCCAAATATATCAATAAAACTTATATTTTACACTTTACATTGCTTCAGATATATTTTTATATTAAATAACCCCCTAAGCGCAATTCCACTTTTATCAAGCCAGCGTGGAATACTAATGATGATAGCGAGTGAGTGCAGGCGAGTGACCTGAGCTTTAGTCCTGTAAGGGCTCTGTAGTTAATTACTCTGAACCATCCTCAGTGAAGACAGCTCATTAGATACATTTGGATACATTCTTTCTAGTCCATAGTCTCAGTGAAATGAACTTTTTTCATAACAAATAGTCAAAATAGGGGGTTTTATAACAAATGCTACCCAGCAAGTGCTGCATGCAGCACATATACATATGCATGATACATGCTAGCCACTTAACTCCACCATGGATTTTTCTGTGTACCCCAACACAGGTCACCTATGATCACTGTGCCTCAGTTTCCTCATGTGCAATAAGAGGAGAATTTTAACCTACCTCCAAAAAAATGTGAATAAATAACAAAGTGATTTAAATTAAAAAAACACTTTGAAAATATAAGGGATAAAATGATTTCTTAAGATATCACTACCTAGTACAGACAGGTAGACCTGGAATCTAGGAAGACAGAGGTAGATTTGGAAAATAGGCTAATTCGCTTGGTGATGTACTGTTCCTGTTGCGGATGTAAGTATATGTATCAGGGCACTAAAAACTGAGGACTAAGAACTTTATCTCACTCATTTTAAAATTTGGAGAGCCAAAACAAATTAAATGATCTTAATCACAATTTAGCATTTCCATCTACCAAGATGCAAGTCAGTCAAGGGGTAATGTGTATGCAATGTTTGTATATATAATGTATGTGAATATATATGATTTGGGGTCACTAAAGCACAAAAAGTCTCCCCATAAGATAAAACAGAACTTCAGGAAAACTCAGAACTTTTTTACTTCAGAGTAGCCAGCAGATGGGAATCAGGGTGTTAGTTTTATGGTGGATTCGCTTTGGGGCATGTTGCCCTAATACTAGCTAATGTTCTTGTGATCACCTTCCTTGCTCTTGAACACTGAACTGAAAATTCATCTTTTACCTCTGTTCTATAAGCAAGCCCAGTACATCTTGATTATTTCTTCTGAACAGTGGTGAATGGCCTTACCATTGTTTTTGTATTCACACATACGTACCATCTGATTGCTGGTCTCTAAGCACTTTATGTTCTAGTTCCACTTAACTGGGCCTGTCTCATTTTTCTATGCCACCTCACAAGCTTTCATTTTTAATTACCGTTCACGTTCTTTCTACTTTGATGTTTTATCACTATGAAGTACACTGAACTTTGTCTCTCCTTGTAGAATCTCTCTGTGTTGAGTGATTCTTCCCATTGTAGTTTTCACTTATCTGTATTTGGAAGAATTTATGTGCAAAATGACAAAAGTGGAAAAATAAGACAAATCCATCCTCTGCATTCATTCAGTCTTACGTACTTCATAATACCTTTTAATCTCTTATCCTCCAAGTCAATTTCATTTTCCTCTTTGATTATCCGGCATCACACCAACATGTGAGATTTAATAGGTTTCCCTTTTTCCTTTGGAAACTGAGGAACATTGATAATCCTCTTTGCCCAAGAAGATAGAACCACCGAATATGAGAAATTCCACCTAATAAAAGCCAAGATGTGCCAATGACCTACAGAGATAGACTGGTTATGCATTTTCATCATGCAATTCTTTCTGACCCCTCCCTTTTTCTCTAGCATTTTGACATTTCAGCTTTAATTCTCTGATCTCCAGGATACATGATTATTTATTCAAACTAGTAATACAGAAAGTGACAATTTTAGAACCCAATGCTGCTAAAGCACAGAAACCAAAGCCTGGTTTTTAACGTGTGCATTCTTACTACATATTTTCATTAAATAAGGAGGCAGGTTTAAAAAATTATTGTAAGGAAATGTATCTTTCACGGAATTAACAGTTATGTTTGTGCAACTGACAAAAGTATTATTCTTAGCCATCATCAGTACATTATTGCTGTAGCCAATTAGGAATTTACATGTTTTCATTTCAATATTGAACCCCTTTTCTATTGTAAAAATATTTTTTCCAAGTTTGATTTCTGTATCAGGATAACTGTTGAGAATACACATTTTCCTGTCTGAGGACCTGTAACCTCCTGTGGAAGTCCCTGTATTTACAAAGGAAATTTAAATTACTCTTAAAGCTTTGCCTTAAATACATGACTAGGAAAGCTTCTGCTTGCATTTTGATTAATACTAGGCATGTTGTTGGTTATGAACTTGAATATTATTAAAATCTGGCTGAATTCAAATATATCAATAAGTTGTTATTAGCTTATAGAACAAAAATTCTATTATAATAGTTGAGAAATTTTCATATATTGTAATTTTAGTCAAGTAAAATATGGATGAAAATAAAGTACTATCAAGAGAAGAAAACAGCCTTGTGAGTTTTCTTTTTATTTAAAAAATTATTACATAAGTTATGCCATAGTAAAAAAACTCATACAGTAGAAGAAGATGTACACAGAAAAGTCATTTCCTCACTTCGAAATCCCACTCCCAGGAGTCTGAGCGTCATTCTAAAAGTGTGTGCGCTGTCCATATGTACATGCACTTTTCATTTAAAAAACACTATTTCATGGGTGTCATCCCACACCAGCACATTTAGACCTGCTTAGTTCTTTTCAGACTAGATAACTGATTTAACCAGTTGCCTATACAGGTGGACATTTTGATTGTTCCCAGTATTTTAGACACAGCATCTTTATGTACTGGCACATTGAATGGGAGTGGGTGCTAGGAAATATTTCTCCTAAAAGTTTACAATCTTCATGGACTAGAATAGAGTCTAATGATTGGAATAGAATTTTGAAAGCAGTATGGCTAGGCTGGCAGGTGGACTTGAGCTTAGGATCTCATTGCTACTAGAAGAACAAGGTCATTGTTCTGAAACAATCACATACATACATGTACTAATAATGCTGCCTCAGATGAGTAACCACAAATCACAGCAAACACAGAAGAGTAGCTTACACATAAAAAGGTCACCGTCACTTCGTGTCAAGGAGATAAATGAAGTAGCTCAGCAAACAGCAAAATAAAAAGAAATGTTTTAGAACAATCTGTTACACTGTGTAAATGGTGAAATCTGATATTTACTGTTTAAATTCAGTGGCTGAAAGAAAGAATCCCTTTGTAAAGACGTGGAGAAAGAAGTTTACATGCATTACTTCCAGACTGCATTATGCTTCGGAAAAATATGATTTAAGAGTTAGAACTTGGGTATTATTGTTACCTTTTCCTTCACATCCGCATCAGGGTGATTAACTAACGCTTGCATTTTCTGGGCACATTCTTCCCCATATAAATGGAAAAACAATGAACCTTTAGTGAAAGCAGGCTTAGCTAAATGGCCTTCCTTTTTGAGGCAGTTATTTATATTCTGAAATAGTGTAAGAACTCGAAGAAGAATCTCCTTTGCCACGTGGCCATCATAAAGGGAAAGGAATGATGAATCCACCTGAAATGGGAAACAATGAGTTTCATTTTAATAATACATGAAAGCATTTTTCATGTATATTTTCACATTTTAAAACTGTTAAATGTTTTTAAAATCTTGTCACAGAGAGTTATCCCTAAGATTGTATAACATATATGTAAGATCTTTGTAACGCCACATTGTATACTAATGGGAAAAGATTTCATGTTTTAGCTGAAAAATACTATTTTCCTGCAATGCTAGAACATAATCATATGGAAAAACACTCACCTTCTTTTGGAGACCCATCATACATACAGTCTTTGTGGGAACTCAATTCACCTAACATTTACTACACACATGCCCTGCAGGGCACAGGGATAAGCAGATGAATACCGGTCTCTTTTCCACAGGAGTGGAGGTCATTTTATCTCTGGGCCACCTCTGCTTCCTTCGAAACACTTGTCTTTTAATTGCCTTGTTCATTTGTTACAGATTTTTGTGTAAGGTCCGTGAGGACAGACACCAGGTCATGTTACTGACGGTGCAGTACATGCAGTATCTTGGCACTTGGTCCAGCACCTGGCACATAGTAGGGCTCAATAAATACTAGTGTTCCAGCGGACAATAGGGTACATATGAACATAAACAAATCAAGTGTAAAAGATGTGATTACACAGGGTACCCCAAATTGGGTAGAGACAGAAAAATTACATATTTTTGCTAGGGAGACCTTTTTAAAAATGATTTTTTAAAGTATAATATGCTCATTACAAAAAAATTGAGGAAATTCATGTAGGTAAAAAGAAAAGAGAACAACACAATATTGCTCTCAGAGGTAACATTTTAAAAGGGGTAAATCTACATATTTGTGTATTTACAAAACAAATTTGTAAGCTATTTACTTGTGCTCCAAGTAGTCCTTCTGTCATGGCTGGATTTTCAGACAAATTCAACAGCAGTTTCAAAACTTGAACCTGAAATAAGAATAACACTGGTTTGTTTCAGACCCAGCTGTCCTCTCACCACATCACATTTTAACGTACTGCCTGTGCTTCAAGGTCTGGCTCAAATTCTCTTACTCCCTGGAGGCTTCTCCATCCATCTCAGCATGAACGGGCTCCTGGGCTTGCTCGCTCCCAACACGTGGCACTGGTTTCAGAGCGCTTACGACGCAGCAGTGTTATTTAAAGCCTACATTTCCAATTACATTGTGAGGGAGATCGGGAGAAGGCCGTGACTGCCTTCACCATCCACCCTCACCCACATACATACCTAACACATGGTAGGCTTAACATGTGTTACAAAAAGGAACTTTATTATGATTACTGTTAGGTGAAATAGGATCTTTGGAACAGAAAAGCAGTCTTTTGAAGCTCAGTTTATTTCTATTTAAAGAATGAAAATTTTAAAGCAGTTTGGCTACTGAGACTGAATAAATAACCATATGGCCTTTTTCTTCTTAGTAGGTTACAGTGAGTCTTTGACCTCACCTCCTTTATGTGAAAAATGTTTTACAATCATTTTAAATAGGTAGTGATAGAAAAATCAGCAGACAAATGCTAACCTAGAGCCAAGTACCTAAAATATCAGCATTCTTATCACTTATAACTGAAAACAGTAATAAATCCAAATAGAGTTACTTTAAAGACAAAGGTCATGTAGAACTAGTTCCTACAAGACACTTGAAATTACAGTGAGGGGCAGGGAGGGGCTTCTGAAATCGGGAAACGACGATGACTGTGCTCTCTGCTCACCCTGAGAAGGAAGCTGGATGTGTCGTTTATATAACTTCCTTTGATTACAAAGGTACTATGTGCTTTACTAGAGAATATTAAAATTTTTAAAAAGCCCAGAAAATACAAAGGAAAAGGAAATTTATATTTCCAGGACCAGAAATGATCACTAAGTTTTGGTATTTTTTCCTCTGGTCTTTACGTACCTGTCCTGTATAATCATAGCGTCCTTTGATCATGTTGTACATACTAATTTGTTACTAAAGGAGAATATATATGGCTTTGCCTATTTTTAAAAAATCAACTATTAAAATTTTTTCCTGTGGAAAACTGCATGAAATATTGAGTTTAAACTTCATTTTATTAAAAATGTTTAATATAATTAATAAAGGGTCATAATAAATTTCAAACAGTACAAAGGGAATGAGGTCAAAACAAAAGCCACCACCCTATATTCACTGATTGCACTCCCCAAATGGGAACCACGGGAAACTTTCTTGCACAGGCAGACATCATGTTTTTCCAACAGACATCCTTCATGAAATCACAGCCTCTTAACATTAAAGAGTAAAGACAACTCTGACCTTTCTTTAGTGCACTAACTCCCTGGAGATCTGGTCTGGCCTGACTGGCTTCCAGCAACACCAAAAATAAGTGTTGGGAATAAACACTTGTCTCCAATGTCAGTGAAGTTTTGATTAAGAAAATAGGGACAAGGGTTCTAAAATACGACAGTCCCAACGTATGAAATAAGCCTGGATGAAGTCAACACAATGTAACAGGCCCACAAGTGGTCAACGAGGGCAGGTTCATAACCAGGGAACAGCAACAGCAATAGCTACATAGTGTCCTGAACTAAAATCCCATGTTGCCATGTTGTGTAGAAGAGTTAAACATGAAAACCAACCAACCATAAGGTTAGAGTACAAGTACAGATTAAACGGCTCTATGTATTTTGGTTTGAAGCCATATGAAGTCTCTGTCTCTTATCACATGTGCCATCTTGTGGTGAGTCTGGGACATTTCTTTTAAGCTGTTAGTTTTCTTTGCTCTCATAGTAAATGTGGCACACACAGTTAATTTACACTAACCTTCCACTATTTTATTTAGTTATGAATCAGTGTTGTACCTGAAAGGTTATTACAGTGGAGCGAGATCATTTATTAAAAAATAAGATTTAAGCCCTGGCCAGGTGGCTCAGTTGGTTGGAGCTTCACCCCGGGTACCAAAAGGTTGAAGGTTAGATTTCCAGTCAGGGCGCACACCTGTTTCTAGTTCAGTCCCTGTCAGGGAATGTACAGGAGGCGACTGATGGATGTTTCTTTTACACATTGATGTCTCTCTCTCTCTCAACTCACTTAAAAATATTATTTATAATTCTTGGGTGATGATTAAAAACATTTATAAAAAGTCATTTCGGTGGTTATTTACTATGAAAATACATAAAATGGATACATTTTCCTACTTACAAATGGATTACTACCCAAGAGTTCAGCCCTGACTGGTGTGGCTCAGTGGACTGAGTGCTGGCCTGCAAAACCAAAAGGATGCAGATTCAATCGCCAGTCAGGGCACATGCCTGGGCTGTGGGCCAGGTCTCCAGTTGGGGGCGTGCTAGAGGGTACCAATTGATGTTTCTCTCCCTCTCTCTAAAAAAATGAATAAATATAAATATAATCTTTTTAAAAAAGTTCATTTGTAAGTCAGAACTTGAAATTCATTTTTTAATGGAGAAACAATGTTATAATTGGTGGTTAGATTCCCAGAAAGACCAAAAAAGCAAAATTTCTATCCCAGAAATATTGTACTAGGTGATGTAATGGAAAAACAAAACAGAAATAGAACATACTATTGTAGTGTGAGTCACCTTTTAAAAAGTCATAAAATTTATTAAAACACAGACCAAGTCTGGCATATCTCTGCGGCCGCAGGCCAGACCCGCCCGGCTCTGAACGCAGTGCTCCTCTGAGGGTGGGGTAAGGCGGCTGCAGAGAGATGCAGAGGAGAAACTGTCCCTACAGCTGCAAGACCACGGGGACGCGGGAAGGGAGTTTCCACGGGGCCCCAGGGCTGGGAGTTTCCTTGGTCCCCTGGAGAGAGATGGCGATAGACGCATGCATTTTGGAAATTCCTGTGGATAGTGCAATATTGTTAAAATAATAATATTATTACATGAATTTAGAATGCCTTTGGGCACATCCAAATAAGTC